TTGAAATGACCCTTGGATCAAAGAGAGGCGTATTGCTCTGAAAAGGTTACGGTCATAACTCACTATTGACATTTATAAATCAAAGTATTATAATTTTTTTTGTTTGTTTTGAACTCCCTTATTTTGCCCTTTTCTGAAAGGGTACCGACCTCGCTGTAGTAGTCACTATATTTGAGGTTGCCCTGCTTCTCAGCTCCATCACAGGTCTTTTACCAGTTTATGCGGTGGTTAGCAGGCACGCCAAACTACATTAAAAACAAATCCAAAGAGCTCAAAGTTTCGGTACCAGCCTTACCTGATAAAAGATGGTTGCCAGTGATGAGAGAAGCGGCGGACCGTTGACCGGAAAACAGCAAATTACGTCTATAGGTAACGAACTAACGTTAGAACAGCAGCTTCGAGAGCAGGTGATTCAATCTGTTCTGTTAGCACTCCAGTTGCCTCCTTATGAAGTGCGACTAAATAAAGCTGAATGAAGGCGGGGACGTGTTGTTGAGTTATCTTCCCGTCTTGTTTTGGGTTGTGTCTCGTTCAGGAAGTTTTATTGTCTAATAAAAGTGCAGACGAGAGCCAGGTTGGGCGGTGTTGGGAGCTGCCCGTTGGCGTCGCTCCAGGCTGTTTGTAGTTCTTCCTATGGACGCCCTCAATGTTTCGTTATTGCCGGGGACACCGAAATAGACTTCAATTCCCAGGTAGGTACAGGTAATGGATTTTTAACCCTTAAGTCGAGTATGAGACGAATATTATCTGCGGTATGAGCGCACACATTTTAACCATGTTTAAGAAAACATATAATATAATATTGATATGTATGTGTCTACGCGTCTACAATTAACATGACACGAATGATAAGGTAGCTAGCTATCAGAAGAACAAAATTAACGGTTTTCACGACGGTCAAGAGAGTTCGCTGCCAAAAAGCTAAAATATCGTCAGTTGAAGAAATACCAGGCTTAATTAAAGGTACGTTAATACTGACAGGATGCGGCTGTTAACAATTATTAGCATTGTGCGTTACTGTAGAACGTTGTTTGCTAGGGAAACTGTGCTAACCGCTAACCTCCAGGACCATTATTAAGCTGGAGGTTAGCTTTTACAAACAAAGAGACAAATCTGTGCTACATCTGTGCTATTTCATAAAATAATCAAGAGGCTGTCGTGAGAATGGTCAAAAAAATGTGTTTGGAATGAGAGTAACTTGAAGCTTTACGGAGTCACAGACATACAAGGAAGCTGGAGACAGTTACTATTTCACCACACGCCTAAACTCTTTGACCAACGCTCATTGGACCAATCGGCGTGGAGTGGGCGGGGTCTGCGGCAAACGAAGAAACGGTGAGCTGCGGAGGAGAGCAGCAAAGAGAGAGAGACCGCACTTATTCATCCTTCCATCCCAACCAACCGTACGCCCTTTATCGGTAAGAACCGTTTCTGGCAATAATAAATATATATACATATCTATGGTTCAGTCACAACGCCGGTGCTGATTTATGTGAACCATATTGAGATAAGAAAACCGTAAGTGCTCAGCTTTTGCACGATAACAGAAGAATGTGATATTTCTGAGTTTTTCCACTGGAATTTCTGTTTATTAAGCTGTCAGGAATGAGTAGGTGTAATGGGGCATTTTATGGACGAGTGTAAAAGGATTATGATTGCTGTAATCAACATGTGTGGGCTTTTAATAGGGGGGGCGGGTGGAGACGCACATTGGAGCCAAACGTATTTTTTCCCAAGCCCACACTGATTAGAGCCGTTACCCGTGTGTCCACTACCCAGGGCTATTTAATTTTCATCGGTGGTGCATGGTTAAATTGTTGTAGTTGTTGTATGTTTTTTGTTGTTGTTGTTGTTGTTGTTTGTTTGTTTTTTTGTTTTTGAACTGAAATCAGCTTCAGTCGATGTGTTGGGGTTCTTGTCCTTGAAATATAGGCAAAGGCGCATTGAGTGAATGTGTGTGAAATAACGAGGCAGATTGTAGTAGCTTGGTCCTGCCTTATCCCTACCCCACAGTAACACACATACACACCACTTGTTATTCCTTTAATGCAGATCTCTGTATATGAATGTGTGTGTACATGATGGCTTTGATGGCCATCGATAAGTCAAATGTATACCTACTGTCTGTTTTATTTATGTTAAATAGCAGTGGACAAAAGAAAGATGGAAAAATCTGGTCAAACATTGCAGTAAAAGATGGAATTATTGCAGTATGATTAGATTGCACTAAAACATTTATGATTTTTTTTTTTTTTT